ACCTCTTCAAGCTACTGGGTCCGCTTAAGATCCTTGTTCCCAAGAACTAGCTGGTTTTTAACATTTGTGGAGGAAAGAAAAACTATCTAATCCTCACGTATCTGTTAATTCGCCGATAGTGCGAAAAATGCTAACAAAGGCAACTTTACACTCAGAAACTTAGCATGAAGTAATTCCCAACGGATATAGTCAGCAGTAACAATACTAGAAAATCAGTACGATGTTTAAAGGAATACTCCCTTACTGATATAGTCAGCAGTAACAATACTACAAAATCAGTACGATGTTTAAAGGAATAATCCCTTACTGATATAGTCAGCAGTAACAATACTACAAAATCAGTAGGATGTTTAAAGGAATAATCCCTTACTGATATAGTCAGCAGTAACAATACTAGAAAAGTAAAGGACGTTATCCCCCTTGTTGCGACTGCTCTGTAACTTATTCGTATTCTTTAATGATTTGTAACGAAGTCCTCATCATCGATGATATGTAACCTTTCATGTTTACTGTAGTCGTATTACATATTTATCTGTTTCACCTTTCCCATACTTGTCTTGAACTTCGCGCAAAGCTACTCAAGGGCTATCTACGCTAGCCGTCCCTAATTTAGCAATGAAAGACTAGAGGGAAGGCAGCTAGCCATCACCACCCACCGCCAACTCTTTTACCAACGAATAGTGGGATTGACCGTCACATTATCACGTCCATGGCTGAAAGGGCGAGCATGATTGGTGGAACGGGGATTTGAACCTGCAGCTCTCAGATTGCGATTAAAGCGCCCCCTACCCTGTTAAAAGTGTAATATGAAGTTAGCTATGTTACGCACACCACGGGGGTAGCGAAACCCGGACACCAACAAGAAACTGTTAATAGAGCTTAAAATATATATAAAGTGTTAAAATAGCTATTGTTCTTGCTATGTCTTTTAAATTACCACAAAGTATTTTTCTAAATCAGACGTATTCTCCGGTAGCTTAGCAGTGAACTTATAACGCTAAAATTCAGAGTTTGGTTCCCCGCTTAAAACACGTTACAGATAGCCCATTGTGTAGTTCTGCATTTAATATACACAAATAACAAATAATTCTATTGTTTTGCGCGTTAAATAATACGGAACTTTTTTCTGGTTTCATTTTGTTGTTCTCAGGGTAAACTCATTTCTGCACGAGGGCAAAGATCGGCCCTCTTTATAACGGTAGATTCGCGCAGGATAATTAAAGAGTAAATCTGAAGTTAACTAAATTACCGAGTTTATGGTGAAAAAATATAGAGACTAGACACGTAAAGTGTAAAACAATCTTTATTCAAAATACTCGGGAAAAACACTGTGTGTTTACTTGTGTAAACATTAGACAGTCGGTTTCCTCCTGGATAACAAAATCAATCAACAGTTATATTCTCGCACGATGTCTTTCTGTCAAACGACTCATTTCAGGAACCAAGTAGAAACCTCTGTGCCAAACAGAAAACCTCAGTTTTACCCGTAAGCAACAATCGTCTCAACGTGACTGGTCGTTCTCTTACCAAACATAAAAGCTATAACCTCTATTATCATCTACTCGGGCAGTGAGGGACATTAATGTCGATGATCTATCCTATACAGTATGCGAAGTCGCAGCAATATTTTCCGCGGGCAAAGTAGATACCGTCTGCTTCAGAGCAACAAAGAACAAAGGTAACTGGAACGAAACAACTCAATATTTTTCTGGACCACACGTTTATGCTCAAACCGGCATAGAATCAGACTACGTGAGATTTGTTTTTTAATTCTTCATTCATAAAAGATTATGGGAAACGTATAATATGCCTGTATATCAAATCATTATGACACAATTTCGTTGTGATTAATATCACTTATTTGCATGATCGGTTTACAGTTAATAGAGTAATGTTTCTTTCTGAACAAACCTTACGTCTGAGTGTACATATAATATATATGTTTTATATAAATTGGTTTTATTTCTTACTCATAAAATGTAACGTCATTACAAAACATTACTTGAAATTATTTAATATTATTTATTTTTCAGATACTACGATTTATAATAAAATATTACAGCATCAAACTGCCATGTTGTATTAATTTATTTGCAAATAATAGGAATCTGGAATTAAAAAAAATAATTAAATAAGGAATCACTAATTGAACCGTAGTTAATGGTTGGTTATTAGTTGGAAAAATATTGTAGATGTAAACATTTTATATCCCGGAATCGATATTCACGTTTGGGTTATAACATGGAATATTAGACGTTAGTTAGACTTAAAGTCATTGAGAGGTCACCATGAGCGCTTCAACTTCAGGCTTGTTTACACTTTTATTTAAAAAGGTACACTGAGGCTTGACAGCTAGGTTCAAAAAGTTTGAGAAATGTTATGCAAAGAATAAATCGAACACAGACAGCAAAGGAAAGAAATATACTTGTATTTATAGTAAAGTTACTAAGACCATCTGCCGCCGTCCTTAATTTTGAACCAGTCAATAGCCCCCGACCACCCACGACAAGAGATTGATTGTCATACTTATAACGCATCCACAGCTTAAAGTGCAAAGATTATTTTGTGGTAGCGCACGCATTCGAATTTGGCTCACCAGCTCTGAAATTCATAGCTCTACCACAGGGACAAACTGTACCATAGGAAAGAAAGAAACACAAATGAACGAATATAGAAATATTTATTCGCAGTAACTGTGCGCATCTTCATAGTTACTGGCCTTTTTTTTAACACTTGCTGGTTGCTGGGGTGAGAGGCTTCTTGGACAAGTTCTAATACGGACAGTTGAGGAAGCTTTGCTGAAAATGTGAAATGTTTTGGTATATGATTTCTTTTCGGTTTCCCAAGAGAACCTAAGTTTTTTTTCGTATGTTTTTAAAAATACACGAGCTCCTTTCTTTGGACAGAGATAAAGATGCGTTCACACTGGACAAGGATAACAGAAATCCGGATTTACCGGCCAAACTCGCACCAAAGCCCTAACTCATACCAATTTGTACAAATGTCTGAGCCAGCCACCACCTCTCCACAGGAAGGTCAGGTACAGGGCCAAAGTAATATGCGTTTCTAGCCGTTGGTATGTGCAAGCTTTACTAGAGTGCAAAGTTACCACCTTTCGATATTCGATTAACAACAAAGTTACGTAAATATATTTGACCAATCAACCATACGCTTTAAACTAATTATAGAAGAGTGAAATTGACGATTATTTCAGTCGTTACAACTGAACACCTATACTAATAATTGCTATTCTTTACAGTGAAACAATCATTGATCAACATGTATAATACCTAAAAGCATACATTTTTTAGTAATCTTACATTTCACATTTAAATTGCAATCTGGAGTAGGATCCAATTAATTTCTTGTTGCAGAGTCTTCCATTCTGGGCACAACTTGGGAAGATGCTGAAATTTATGAACCACAAGACTTCATTGTTTCATCTTCCAGTGTGGTAAACACTTTGTTCTCAAAACTGTAATGATTTGAAAATTCACAAAGGTCACTATTTTAATCTTCCAATCAGCTTGTTTTTGATGTTGTTTTAATTAGATATGACCAACCTGGTAAATAGAAAATCACACTTTATAGGCTGCTTTTATTTATTTTTTAAATCAGGTAAACGAAAATCATTGGCCCAACAGTAAATCTTGGGGCTGATAACGCTTAAAATCGGGTTTCGATACCCGCGCTTAGCACAGCAGCACAGTCTAGTTTTGTGCTTAGTAACAAAACCATAAATAACCAACTTACGAAACCAGTGAAGCTGTCAATTCCCAGTAGAAGTGTCAGATAGATGACGACAAAATCAGATTTTAAATTTGAAAATATTTTTATTGTTTGTTAGTTCACAAAAAAAATGTGCTTAATACTGGGGAAAAATACCGTTGAGGTTCACATAGGGTTGTGAATCTCATTGATTTGTTGGTGTTACTAAATTAACAAGAGACGTCTATACGTTATTTTGTAATATTTGCACATATACTAATCGTACAAGTCCTCTTATTAGATATATATCCAATTTTATACTGTTTGAATATGAAAAACGATGAAAAATAATCTAAAATTTGATTCTTATATTTACACGAGACTATATTTCTGGAGATAACATTTTAGTTTTCAAATTCAAAATTTCGTGGATAAGAATACTCAATACTTGGTTAAAGATATGAATTTCTTGTATACACGTATCGACTTGCTTACCGTATCTTTTTAAAACAAGCACTTGAGATTAGCGTTTCCTTCGAAACTAATAAACCGTGCCTATTTTTTTTTATTTCGCTACACATCACAAAGGAAATCCGTGAAACTATTTGCAAAATATACAAATGTAACATTAATTCCAATATATAATTCTGTATACGAGTATAAATATTGAGCTCAACTGTTTCTCGTCGCTGTTAATTTCGAAACTCGCCGAAAACTGTGCATATTCAAGCGATATTGGAATTATTATTAATATATCTTCAAAGTTAACGTAGTGTTTCCAAAAACAGCGTGGGTTTAAAATATTCATATAAAATCATTTTCTTCGCTATTTTAGCACCTTCGTATTTGATTTGAATAGGTATCTAGTCTTCAGAACAATTATAATTATTTATCTCACGCTTTCAATTATCTGTTATTCGAATCAAAATCAATAAAATGGTATAAAAATATCATGCTATAAGTTGCACGTATCAGAATGCATACTCGAAAAGATATAACTAGTTTGGAGTGTAAATTTACGTAAAAACTAGTTAAGTTCCAATTTGAATTCATTGGTCAACGAAAAAGCTAGGCTTAGCCAATTAAGTGTTCCGTTTGGGAACCCGATTCTTTTTCGCAATACAGGCGTAAAAACTTAATATAAGCGCCTGCTGTCCTAGAAATACATTAGTATTAAAACACACTCTCTTGGCTAGACAAACATAATTTGACTTGCAAATGGCAATCTTTTCGTTTCACTTCACAGTTATTTTATCACATAGGCCTCGAGCATGAGTCGATCTGCACAACGAACGATCCTGACAAAGTGTTCAAATCGTCCCATACAATAGGTTATAGGAACTTTCGTTAAGTTCAGGATCCAGTACAACCTCTTCGTAGCTAGGAGGCGGAGTTGGTCGGACATCTTCGTCCTCGAGATCACTGAGTAGGGTGGATTCAATAGTGGGGGCATACATTAGTACATATGGGTTGGAATCAATGACGTTGGCAGTCTGTGAGCGTTCGTGAAGATTATTTCCGTGCGACGCGTGCTCTTCCACAGTTGTAACATTATTATCACCTGTTTCTTGATTATAGGTGACACAAATTTCTGGAATGTGTGTATGTGTCGATATGTTATGATTTTCTTGCCCAGAATTCTGTTCATCACCACTGTCACGCGGACTTCTTAACTCCGGTTGAACAGCAACTTCTGTTGAAGGCACTCTCTGTGGCTGATTTAAACCAGACTGTAAACAGATGTCATTGGACTCACAAACCGGTTCAATAGAAATACCATCATCTATGTTAACTTCCACATGTGTTAAGACACTGGTAGTAGCAGGTTCAACAACTTTTGGTGAGGTAGGAACTGTTGACTCAGATCCAGCTAATAAATCATTCTCAGAAATATCGTTTGTTACGTTGACATCACTGCATTCGTCTGAAGATTGGTACGAAGAAGAAGCTTCATCATTGTTATTGCTTCCAACTGGTTCGTTAGTACTACACATGTTAAGATTATCAATTGTGTTACAGTTAGGTGGCGCTACAGAGCCCACCTCAACAGGTCTGATCGGCTGCCTTGGGACATCATACAAGTCTTCCTGATCCAGATTCGTTTCACGACCTTCCTCTTCAGCAACTAAAGCTTCTGAAATGATAATATCATTATTTATTGCTTCAGTTAACTGTTCTTCGCAATTTACGTTTAATAAAACTTCTTCGTTTCCATTTGAAACAGTTTCGATATTCATAATCAGTGATACACTTGGAGTATTTTCATCGTTTCCTGAGAGGTCCATCGACTGCACTCCATCGATTTCACTAACAGGTTCTAATGACATTTGATTAATATTAGAAATGGGGTCCTGAGAACCGTTGACATTGGGATCAACACCCGAAGCTTCGTCCTGACAACGACTGTTGTTGGTACCGGAAACTGGAACATTTTTAGCTGTCGTTTCACCCGATCTATTTTGATCATTTATATTTTCATTCATACAAGCATTCGATTGGCTAGCGGATATAATAATACTGGTATCTCGTGTTTGGTCCTTTGATTCTTGTTTTTCGTGCGATTGGAGAGAGATTACGCCATTAATAGTCTGAAGAAAAGAATGTCGATTACAAGGAGACTTTGGTCCAACTGAAGAAATATTATTTTCAGTTTGACAACATTGATCACCTGTTTGTACAATAGTTTGTTTATCTCTTGAATTAGGTAGCTCGGTTCTTTCACTGTAAAAGAAAAAAAAACACCTTTTCATGAAGGTGGAAAATAATACTTAATTTGTGCTTTACAAATACACTTTTTACATTATACTTTTTGTTCGAAGATTAAACTATTCATCAACATTTCTTCTCATAGTCCTAAGTTGTTGTCAATTATTTGGACTTCAAAATTACGTAATAAATCAGGGCAAGAAAATAGAGTGTGATATGATTTTTAAATAGTAGCAACCACTACTGGTAAACATCCTTAACAAGAGAAGAGAAGGTAAGCCTGAAAGCCCAAGAAAAATAAGGCTAACTTAAAAAAATATAATAATGGACATAACACACAACAAAACTCAAAACAATATAATAATGGACACAACAAAACTCAAAACAATATAATAATGAATATAACACACAACAAAACCTCAAAACAATATAATAATGGACATAACACACAACAAAACCTCAAAACAATATAATAATGGACATAACAAAACTCAAAACAATATAATAATGGATATAACACACAACAAAACCCCAAAACAATATAATAATGGGCATAACACACAACAAAACCTCAAAACAATATAATAATGGACACAACAAAACTCAAAACAATATAATAATGGACATAACAAAACTCAAAACAATATAATAATGGGACATAACA